GAATCGGGTGAATCATTAGCGCTGACTGTCACATTGTTAAATTTACTTTCAAGGTAAATATTGATACTGGTGCGTGTTTATGTGTTTGTATGCTGGCGTCATCGACCAACTCACGCATTCCACTATTTTCCCCCTTTTCTCTAATAATTTATCGTCGAGGTGATTTTAACACGCCGGATGGTTCTTCACACAATTCTTCGAGTGTTGTGGACAGCTCGCCCACACCAGTGTGTTGATATTATTTATACCGAAGCATGGCTATTTTATTTGCCTTGGCCCGACTTCAAAAATGCCCTCATCCTCCATTAGCGATTCGAGAATATCGTTTGTAGAAAATTAGGTTTCACCCTAATAACAGAAAACTTTCCAACCGTTTCGCAACTCCTTTCCAAAATATGGGGCAGCGCACGGGGGGGAGGTGGGTCTCCAACTTGAAATAACGAAACCCTTGAGTTGTGAAAAGTTGATTTGATCGAGAACGAGCGGACCGGGTGGCGAAAATTAACGAAAATGAAAAGCCCTAAGAATTTCAACAGTGAATATTCAATTATGTTAATAAGAGAGAAAAAATGGTTTTGTTTAAAAATGACGTCAGCCGTTTTCATAATAGGCTACCAGAAAAGAATTATCTTGAATGAATAAACATGTTTGGCCTATTGAAATTGTTATTTGATAGTTCAGTAACAGTACCTAAAGCGACAATTTCAACGGGCGCCTTTACCAAACAACAGAAAATTTGTTTTCACAAAAAATACTTATTATCAAACAACAGGCAATTTGTTATCATAAAAAATACTTATTATCATTATTTATTACGCATGCATTTGCGTCATCCTCTCTCTCTCTCTCTCTCTCTCTCTCTCTCTCTCTCTCTCTCTCTCTCTCTCTCTCAGCATCCGTCTTTCTTTTCACACTCTTGCCCTCCCTCCTTGTCTCTATTTCTTTCTTTCGCCCTCCCTACTTCCATCTTAGCTCACTCTCTCTTTCTCACTCCGACTCTCTGTATCTGTTTAACTGACACTCACTCACTCTCTCAGTCTCCGTCTTTATTTTCTCTCTCTTTTTCTCTCATTCACTCTATATTTTTCTTTCTCTCTCTGCCTTCTCACTCTCCCTCTCTCTCTCTTCTCTCTCTTTGACACTCAATGTATCTCTCTGGCAATCACACACTCACACTCACACTCACACACACACACACACACACACACACACACACACACACACACACACACACACACACACACACACACACACACACACCCCTTCTCTCTCTCTATGTCACCTATATTTCTCTCTCTCTCTCTCTCTCTCTCTCTCTCCCCCAATCGCTTATTCTCGTTTGCTTGTACATTTGATAAGAATAATTTTATGAAAAAAAGAACTGTTATAATAATATTTCTTCACTTCGGAACAAAACAATTTTGTGATATTTAATTACAGTAATAGCTAAAAACCTATTGGCCGGAACTATTTCTCATAAATCTCTAACCTCGAGTCTTTCATCCCAGAGAAGGAAGATCTTGAGAATAGTTTGTTTGAAAAGTATTATGGAAATTTTTTCTTTATGTTTTGTGTTAATTTTTAAAATGATTGTTATATAATTCTAACAGTTTTAACCTGTTGTTTATTTCTCTCTAATCCTTACTAGAATCTTTTACATAAGAAGGCAAAGAAATTCTGGTTTTCCCTCTAACAAAGCTGAAATGTTGAGTTGTTTAGTAATTTTTCACGGCCGAAAGTTTTCGACAACTTCAAAAAACAAAAACAATTTTATAACAGCGCTGACCTATTGGCTAGTACTCTTTCTCACAAATCTTCTACCTCCAGTCACTCCCGGGGCCCAAACGTCTTCAAAATAGTTTGACTGGAAACTCTACAGTCTCAACTTTATCTATTGAGTTTAACTTAGTTCAGAACTTTTCTGACTCTAGATTTTTCGAAGAGTAGAAACAAAGTTAGCGCAATACTTTTGGGGCAGTTTTGACCTTTATAGCGTTACTCATGACAAGGATTGTTCCCAAGATCTTTTTCTTCCGTCCCAGTTTCTTTGGAATCTAGCCTCAAACGCAAAATCTTTAGAGGGAAATTTTAATTTATTAATGAATTAATGAATGTTAAATTGATTTTCTTGAAGGGAAATAAGCCAGTCCCGGATAATACAATAGAAGAAACATTATCGGATGATTTTTCCCCAGAAAATTCTTCGAGAAAATAGCTTGAAAATATTTTGTTATTCTAATCTTTGGTACATAATGTCCAAACGGTTCGCTACAAAATCGTTTTTCGGTTCGTAGCCCCGATTGTGACAGATCGTGCCATTTGTTTTATCGGGCAGCCAGACGATTCTATAAATAAATTTACAAACTGACCAAACCGATAAATCGTGTCTGGGTCTCGCCATCGCAAGTCGTTGACGACTATTTGAGCCGTTTTGCCCCTCCTTCTGACAATCTCAACGGTCTCAAATTGGAATTATGGTCTTTAAATACAGCGCCCAATCCTTTCAAATATTTTAACACCAATTAACCAGGTTGATATCCAAGGACTCCGGGATTTCAGAATCTGGTGAAATTTGCAGTCGAGGGATTAGTCTTGAGTTACAAGAAACGGGCCAATGCGCATCTTCCTTTTCTATTAAAAAAAAACTATATAAATCACATTTACCGCTTCGTCCTCCTGAATTAAACGCGTTTGATTAATTTGTCACGTCGAATCCATTTTCTCCTATAAACAAAAACCTTTTACCCACACTTAGATCCGTCAAATATACTAAAAAAGACGACGAGGCAGCGATAAAAGTAATCATTCGTGGGAACGGGTCGGGATGAGTAGTCCCGGCAGAAAAATAACAGAGTCAAGGAAAAATTACAAAACGAGGAAGGGCCTGCTGGCGAATGGTTGAACTCGTGTCGAACGCGTCCAATTAAACCGGTCCGCATGTTCTCGCTGGCTCTGTTCGCTCCCATGCGGGTTTGGCCGGTTCGAGGGGAGAAAAAGGAAACAGGCAGATTAGATCAATAACGAGTCTTCGATATGCTGGGCTGTTTTTGTTTCAACACAAATCAAAACGACGTGATGAAGAAATGAAAGAAATATATACCCATACGACAAACTTCTAAATAGAACCAGTGACAACGTATAATAATAACCAAACTATAAAACTAGTAAAAAAATGTTATGTACTTTATAAAAATACTTTTAATTAATAACTCTGTGATGTATGGGAAAACCATTTAAAAATAATTAAACAGACCAGCGTTTTTTTTTCTCGCCAAAAGATTGTTTGGAATTAGAAAAAAACAAACGATAATGGTGCCCATTAAGATAAGAACTGACGTGATGAAATGATATCGATACACTGTACACACACAATTTTAAAATTAAACAGTTATATGTCTGGTTGGCAGTAAAAAAAAAACGGAAAGAACAATTTTCATATGGTTGTAACTTTAACAAATGAAGGATGAAGGGGCAAGGTCTCGAGGTCATTCGTCATTTAAGGCGACGTGGCGTGATCTGAGGATGGGAAAGACTAGATAAACCTTGGGGAGTAAGGTTAGGAGGGATCAAGTGCTTAATGTGGAACTTTTGGGAGAGGGATCCAGCTCGTTGGAAAAAAGAATGTTGAGGTCATTATGGATAGTCGTATCGAATAGTGACAATACGTCTGAGGTTGATTGAAAAGATTGAATGCTCTGGATATTGGATGGCTTGGTGGCACCAGGTCACCTTTTTACAATCAAAACAGTCCTTAAATTCATAGTTGTTCAAGTCTTCTGTTAAGTCCAAGCAGTCCTAAGTAGTCGGAAGCTCCTTGTTGTTGATGTCCAGACGGTTTTTTTTTTAATCATTCAGCCTTGACTTTTAGGACTTGTCTTTAGTCTAAGATGTTCTTGATTGTTGGAGCTTGCTTGGATAGGTTTTGCGTTATAAGACAAAATAGCGGTAGCATTCACGTGTGGTAATGATGGTATTTGGGATGGGTTAGCAGTATAAACGGTATAGGATGATGAATGCTCCCTTGTGGGACGCAAGATTTATTTACTCTTTAGAACAGTTTTTATTCCTTTTTAGTTGTAGCCTTTGGTTTTTATCTTCATTAGCCGTAAGACTATGTTTTCAGTAGGAGGAAACCATCAACATTGTCGGGTCAGGTTATCTACACCGTCATGCCTTTTATGCTTTAACAATTACTTATTTTAATGCGACAGAACCGTATGCGCTACCCTTAGTCATGACGTAAGGCTGCAAATACTCCACACCCGCTTTTATTTCTCCAATTATCAGCGACACAACGACCTTTAGGCAAGCTGAGACGCTATTCAGCTTATGCACCGCGGCCATAGACGTGACGCCACTCACTGTTATTTGTCTTTAAATGACGGGTGTCTAACTTATCGAACGCATATTATCAATCACGCTATTCACTATATCAGTGTTCCTATATCAGCAACCCAACCACGTTTAAAACTTATTGGGACAATAGTTATTTTATTTTCACCATTATCATCTCAAAATAATTTTATATTTGTCATCTTTTTCAACTTTAGGACAGTTTTAACCATGTTTTATCGTAACCCGAACTCACTAATTACATGATCTTACCAAAGTCTGTTTTTTAGACTGAAATATTTTAGTTGTTTAAAACTTTTTACGGCCAAATTTTACACCAGTTTAACTGTGTTTATTGTTTAACTCTTACTTTTACATTTTAAGACACTTTTAACCTTTTATCTTGTTCCTCCTTAAATAATTGCCCAACATTAATTTATTAATGATAAAAAACTTCTAATGAAGGAAGTCGGAAAATGCAATTAATGTAATAAAACGAACTGTTAATTAAAATCAATTGGAACAAAGAATAGTAAACAAAGACTTGTTTCCTGACCTCGATTATTTCTTAAGTATGAACGGTGGAAAATGTCAATTGTTTTCTTGACCGTGAACCATAATAGGCGATTATTTTCGTGTTTAGGTGTTCATTAGTGAAATTGACATACCTGAACGGTGAAGAGGCAGGCAAAGGCCCGTCATCATCATCAATGCAAGGGCTTCCTTCTGCCGTCTCTTGCCTTCGCTCCTCTTGGGTTTCTTCCTTCTCTTCCCGCTCTGCCTTCGTCTCTTCCACTACTTCTTCCTCACGGTTACACACATCACTCACTTCAACTTCTAACTTCACTTGTTCTTCTTCCTCCTCGTCGTCCTCACCTTCGTCCTCCTGCTTCTTCTCCTCACCTTCGGCCGGCTCCTCTTTCGACACGGCCTCCTCCTTCGGCTGTTCCTCCTCTTTTAACGGTTCGGGCCGCTTCTTCTTCTCCTCCTTTTTCGGGGATTCTTTCTTTTTCACTTTAGGCACGGGCCGTACCTTTATTCGCTTTTCTGAAACACAAAACGACACAAATTGATTTAATCGTCATATGAATTATTTAAAGGGGGACTTTCTTTTTCGATTCAAAGCAAGGCTCTTGCTTAATAATCACAGGAAGTTATACCGTGGTTTCCTATTCGTTTCCCTGTCAGTAAACAAGGGCGTAGACTAAATACTAATGAAGCGGTTTCGTGCTGAGCGCTGAATCCAGATTGAGCAGGATTGGATTGGGGCCAGTCCTCCCTTCTCCCCTCTCGACCCATTGATTCGCCCCGCTGCTGAAACAGCACCGGGGAATGCTGATGGCAAGGCCGTTTTTGACATTCCCTCGGATTTTATTTCTTTTGTTTCCCCATTCTTCAAGCGGTGGCACCAGATCCAGAATGGACCGCAAAAACCCATTTGGATTTTCCTCGTTGCAAAAACATGACAAGAAGTGTCTTTACGGCAAGAGACAAGTAAAATCGACTTGGCCTTGCGAGCCAACTGGGTCAACGCACTCAAGGAGTGGGCGGATGAAAAACGCCTTTCTTCTCCGGACGAAGAAAGGTGAAAGGTCGCACAAGTACACCCGAGGCGGAGTCTGCATAATAATCTCCGACGAACAAAACCCCGTCGGTTTTATTCCTCTCCCAGCGAACGCTGGCTAACCACAAAATGAGCTAACTCGATTTCAGTTCCAGCATAACAATGTTCAACAACAGAACAGCAAAACTGATTTATTTCAGGCAAGTCTGATGACGCTCTTCTGAGAAAATTGTTTTATAAAAGCTGTTCAGCTCGCATATAACATTTTTGAAGGTGGTACAAGTTCACGACCTTCTTCGAAGGCAAGGCGAAAATCGAATCGTGCAGTAAATTTCAAGTTGGAATCATGTATTCACCTTGAGCACCTCCGATTGGAAAGCCCCGTCGGCTGAAAACTTCGTCCCGGAACCACTTCTCGTTCAGTCCATCTTAGACGGGCCGATCTGGGGACAGCCATGGGAAAAAGGCCTTTGAGACGGGGGCCTTGATAGAAATTAATGAACGCCGGTAATTGCAAAATTACCTCATACAGTCGGGGTCAAAGATCAGAAACACAACTCCGGTGCTAAGAAAGTCACGGACAATATTTCTACAAGTTTACATAAATAATTTGTATCTAATATTAATAAATTATACAAAAGATAGGGAAAAAAGGAAACCTATACAAAAAATATTAATAATTTATAAGGCTTCTGAGAAAAATAGCTAAGCCAAAAGCATATTGAAATTCAAAAATTTATACTAAATATATAAAATTACTACCGACACGGTGTTATCTGACAATCTTACTTTTATGTTCCGGCCTTCTACGAACATTCTGACATATACAGAGTGCCACATCAAACATGAAACACCCAACTAACTTGTAAGTTGGACTGGAAATACCGTGGGCGTTTTCTCTTCCGTTCGCAAAAATTGAAATTTTATCTATGAAAAAATGAGCGAAGATCGGTTACAAAAAAATGGAAATACCTTAAATGCACTGTGTAAATGTACAGTTTATAGTTTACACAGGAAAACATATTTTTCCTCAGATATTCTAGATTTGGTTTATCAATAAACAACAAAAGTATTGTCGAATTGACCCAGAGCTTTGCAGTATTCTGTCCAACTAAATCAGTAGGATGTTAGGAAATTTGGTCGTCACGGTCAGCAGATCCAAAATATACGCTAGCAGAGGTTTCAATCACAAGCAGACTCAATCACTGGCAGGATTTATCCAATTAGGCTTTAACTTATCTAAGCCTAGTTGAACTAGGTCTTCAACTGTAGATCAACCCGTAGAAATATAATCCCAGTATTCCACACAGTCACAATACCTATTTTCACTGATGACGGCGATTCGAAGTTGGAAAAGTTTGTAAAGTTGACGAAATTTACCGCAGAAGGTCATCATCAAAACTTAATCGAAACGGGATTTCTGCTTTGACTGGATTTAACATGAAGAAAGTTGGTGATTACTACATCATGTTTTGTTAGGTAACTTTGTCCCCAGAAGCTCACTCACGACCTCTTTTGCTTAATGGTCATTATTTTCTCTATGATTTCGTAGTCCTGAGAAGGGTCGGGGATTTTTGGGAGATTGCACCTAGTCCTTGGGCCGTGTCTATCAAAAGTGATAGACTTCCATCTTTGAAAGCAGTTTGGCTTCTGGTGTAACCTAATATGCTGCACTCTGCTACTCTACTCCGAGTCGGTATGCCCAGGAAAGTTCATCATCATGGCAAATACCCATTCCGGCACTCCCAGAACATCAATTCTAGGTCCCCAAAAACCTGCAGCCCTTAAGAGCAACCAACACATCAGACGCATTACTGCAGACTGCCTATTGATTTTCACTCTCCCAAGAGAGGCATACCGTCCAACGCTTTCGGTACAATGATGAAACGCGTCTGACAAATCAACCCAGCGAGTATTGGCAGGCCAAAATGTACCGACTAATTACAGGTACTGGCAGACCACACGGAGAAATCTCACAATAAAATAAGATACTACCAAGCACATCACAAACCAAGAGTTTTATTTGTTGGGATAAGTTCTCAACAGCCTAAACAGTACTTACTTGTTGTTTTTTTCCCCCGAAGAAATGACAAATTTAACAAATTTATTACCATTTAAATAATAATAGTAAATAACAAAATTTTTGAAGTGTCAAAGGCTTTAACTTATTGTAAACACTAAGGAATTCAAATAAGCTAAACAAGTTCACCCACAGTGGTTAAATCTATTGGAGTTTCTCTTTAAATTGGGATTAAGGGTGTATATAATTAGAACTCTAGTCCGCCCACTCTCGCTGTATTGACTGATGTAATTTAAGTTCCGTTCAACCGAAAAAGAGATTAATGCAATTTTAACTAGATCCGACCTTATGATGTATTCACCTGGTATCAATTTTCTCGTCCAAGGACGAAACTCCATTAAATAAAACTGATTTGGATTGTATTCCCGCCAAGTACAATGGCTTGGGGTTTGGTTTAATTTTTAAATGACCGTTTAATTTGCAATTCTCCCATGGGGCAAAAAACTTATGTAAACCTCAAGGACGGCATAGGTCAAGAGCCCGATGGGAGCCTTCCAGAAAATTATTCTACGGGACAACAAAGCCGTTGGGGGGATTAAAAAAAGGAATAACTTTCTCCCAAATCATTAATCATGTATGGAAATCATATTTCGCATTGTGGATTACACAATGGGAAGTCGGGCGCTAATTTAATCGAAATGACTGTTGTTAATACTGTTCCCACTATATCTCCCCTTTAGAAAAAAAGGAGGCCATTGTTTTAGCGGAGATATTTAGATGGCCATCTATTCACGGTCTGTATAATTGCTTTTGAATTTTCTACAGTTTCGAACATAAAAAAAATACATAAAACGTCGGTAGGTCCCCCTTCGGGCAAACCGGGAGAATGCTAATGAGAGTTGGCCAACGCATAGGAATGGTGGTACCGGACGTTCAAGGCAATTATATCTTGAGGGGAGATAGGAGGGAGATTAATGAAATATAATGGGGCCCAGGGGTGGCTGCCCTTTGGCAAAACCGGAACTTACAATTAGACGGCGATCGATCCGTACATACTTTTCCTTTGACGGAGGTCAAGAGCGATTCCGTCCGTCCGGTCTCGCTGTGTCCTTGGCTCGGCTGTTAAAAATTTACCAGCGAAATTACGAGCGGAACCGGCCATTAATGTAAATTGTAACTGAACCATAAACAATCTGTTAAAATCTGTTTACAAAACTCCCTGACCTAATACTTGATCGGCGTGATTGTAGATAAAAACAATCTCTTTTGAAAATCATTTCTAATTAATGCTAAATTGTCAATTTTGACCTTGCGGTCAGCAGTATGGCGATCAAACGATTTTTGGTCCCCTTTAATTCCATCTGTCCTTCATCGGACAGACAATCTTTTGGCCCACTTGTGAATTACAGTTAAGCCATTTATATATTTTTAAAAATCATCCAATTAAAAATAGTTAGTACGAATAATGGATAATTAATTGCGACAAATAGAAGTCATTTGATACCGTTTTGGTTCTGATTTTACTCTGCCTTAACTTTTTTTACGGAATGAAGCATTAGATAATGGGTACTCTGTTCAGGGGACACCTCCGTTACAAGACAGTCAGATGCACCACCATGGAAGATTAATTTCTTATGTATTTAACAATTCTACTTGTATACTACATAAAGGACACACGACAGATTGGGTTATTCGTTAAGTACCATTTCCCTATTCAATATTATTTTCTTTCTGATATTGTTTTAATTTCATGATTTCAGTTCAAGTTCAAATTTTCAGTTCAGTTCAAAAGGGTTAGCTTTAAAATAAAGAAAAATGCTCGATACTTAAAAATAGTTTGAGCCCTATGATAATTAACCTTTAACGACATTATTTGACGACCAAGTTGCATTCTTTTTATCACTAGGAACATTTTTGTCAGAAACTATAAAACGTATTAACTTCCACTCTTTATCAATACAAATTCTGAAAGGCAATCGTAATTTTATCGTGGTTATGTATTTCTATTTCGACTAAACATTTTGGAAAACGGAAAAAAAATTTTCGACAAAAAAATGACAAAACATTTTTAAACGTCCCTTTTCGCAAATCAAAAAAGAAAATTAAATTGGTTGAAAACATTATGAAAAAAAACTAAAAAGTTTACAAAAATTACAGTTAAAATATACTCTATAAAGTACAAACATTTATCATACTATACAATATTGCACGGCAATCATCATGAAAAAAGTTTAAAAATTAAGAAGAAGAATTAAAAGGCAGCCACAAAAAAGTCGATTGAGGCTTAACGAGAGGTTTTTCCCAATTCCATATCCTAACTACCGTATTCTTGTATATTTTTGCAAAGAAAGCCATGTTTCAAGTTAAAACGACTTTTCTTTGGGCAGAAATGTGTGGTGATTAGTGACCGTTAATCGATAATTATTCAGAAATTGTGAGATGCGGTGTGGTGTGATGTAGATT